AGGTGCCGATGTCTGGATTATAGCTGCACGGCAGTTCGATTGGGCAGTCACTGGCATGTTGCGTACAGTATTCTGGAAAATGGAGGTTATTTCAAAAAAATCCCATTAGATTCCATTAACTGTTTATTCCTCTATCTTGTTTAGCGTGTTGAGGCATAAGTTTAGTTCCGCACACCAACGTTTGGCACCTAACTTATGCCTCTACACGCTAAACACTGGAAGCCAATACGTACCTTCATCGCTGTTGTCGAAGCAGTCTTGTCGCCCATCCATCACCAGTTGCCCATCTATGCATTCACCGCTAACACAGCGATACTGTCCCGTATCACATGATAAAGGAATTTCTGAAAAACCTTCCTCTAGCTGGAAAACAGCTGCAAACATCTAGAACATCAGTGTGTTACCAGAGGGCCTAGTGAGTTCGGGTGGCGTTTGAGAAAGTGTCGTGGAGGGCACTGTTGTGGTTGTACTATGAGTTGTTTGGGCTCTTTGGGCAGTTGAGCTTGATATGGTTGTCTCGGGCGTGCTACAAGGCAGAAGCTTGCACGGTTCTGCAACTTTGAGTGCATGTAACAAAGAATTCTGCAAATGTCAGCACTGCCGTAGACTCTTTTGTGCAAGTCGAAATAGGACAACGCTACTCATTTCCGTCCCTTCTTTTACTATCCTTTACATTCAAGAATTTGTTATTACGTGGAATTCTTTCGTGAAACAAGTGGAAGAGTTCTCAGAGAGTGCTCGCCTTCATCACTTCCATCTCCGCAATCATCCTTCCCGTCCATAATCCATGTTGGGAGCACACAGTTAGGAGTTGTGGCACATTTGATCGAACCCGACATCTCGCACAACTTCTGCCCTGTGATTGTCGTCTCATGAGAGCATTCTTTAGTGATGAAGCATCACCCACATTTGTGCTGCTGACACCGTGTGTCGTCTTGTTTTATTTGGATGCACTTCCCGCAAGGACCCTTCACCATGGTACGTGGGTCGCATATTGGCCTTGTGCAACAGCACTCTGAAAGCAGATTATGAAAAATAATCCTGTTCTCCCTTTTTTGAACAATGCAACTCAGGCTCCTGAAGTTTTTGCAATAGTAAGGACGATACGTAATCCTACTATATATAATTCGCTAAGTATGTCTGTGCGTGTGTGTAGGTCTGTGTGTGTGTGTTTGTCACGAAATTCATAGCGCGCTTCGCTGCAACAGTGGAGCGCTGTATTTTGAGTATGTTGTAGGGGGTGGGACGGGAACATATTTGGTGGGGGACCCAAAGTGATAACGACTGATAAGATCCGATAAGAGGCGCCAAAACGCCAATTCCACGATATCCATAGCGCGCGTCCCAGCATCAGTGAGGCGTTGGTTCCAAGAAGTGATGTAGGGGTAGGACGGGAACATCTTTGGTGGGGGACCCATATACCCATGACGAATTTATTTCCTCAGGAACAGAATTAAGCGTATGCACTCCACCTCCACGATGCTGGATTCTAAGTACTACACCTACAGAGGAGGTTGAGACGCGCACTTCTTCGGCATCAGCTCACGGAAGAAAAGAAAGTAGCATTATGTAGAAATCAGAAACGCTTTTTCAGTTATTGTAGGAAGAAACTGAAGCTGTCATACAGTATCCCTAACTTGACTTCCTCAGACGGTGTCATAATTAAGGACGATCTAGGCAAGGCTAACTTATTTGCTAACTTCTTCAAAACAGTGTACAGAAGGTCATGTGATTCAAACGCCTGCTTACCAACAAGAACGGGTGATTCCTTGGATTGGGTTGACATTTCAAACAACTCTATTTACTCCATCCTGCGCAGAACTTCCGAACAGGCTGTCTACCTCCCCGGATAAGATTCCCTATATCTTTCTGAAGAATGCTGCTCTCGGGGTCACATCCGCTCTCACGGTATTATTCAACAGAATTTTACTTCATGGTGATGTCCCTAAATTGTGGAGGATAGGCTTTGTCAAGCCGATTTACAAGAAAGGTTGCAGAAGCGATGTCTCTAATTACAGGCCCATATGTTTAACCAGCTCCGTGAGTAAAGTTATGGAACGCTTGGTTTGCCAAAAAATTACCTGTTTCTTGATGGAAAGAAATTTGCTACATAAAATCAGCATGGTTTTCTGAGGCGTAGGTCTACATTGTCGGCCTTACTGTCACAGTACCTCTGTGGCATAGAAAGATTGACAAAGGGCATTTCGTTTCAGTCTGCTATATAGACTATGCCAAGGCTTTTGACTCCATCTCAATACCACTGCTTCTTAGGAAATTAGAGGTTTACGGCATCAGGGGCCGACTGCACCAGTTCTTGCGTTCTTTTCTCAGTGACAGGACCCAAGTAGTGCTCGTCAACGACTCCCATTCTTATTCCTACCCTACACCTAGTGGCGTACCTCAACGTGTATTGGGCCGCTAATGTTCCTAATATATGTGAATGACTTGGTTGACTCTATTCCAGCTGGCGCCTACTGCAGTCTTTATGCTGATGATTCAAAAATCTTCACCATAAACGACTGTAACAAGCTTCAGAGCGCTATAGACTGTGTCGAGGCTTGGTCTAGAAAGTGGAATTTGAACATCTCTCTGCAAAAAACAGCTGTTATGGGGCTCGGTAAAAATCATCCTAGATTCACGTTCTCGATGTGTGGCGTCGAGCTCTCCCGAATAAGTAGAGTTCGGGATCTTGGTGTTGTCTACACCGATAAGCTTGAGTTTGATGAGTTCATACGTGAAACAGCTTCTAATGCAAGCTCTAGGGCTAATTTCACTCTGATAGCTTTCCGAATGCGCGAACCTAGACTGCTATTTTTATTATACCAGTTGGCGCCGCACGCATTGCGCGCGCAACACAGATCTGTGGCGAATTTTGATGGTGCGACGAAAAATTTCAAATTTGGCTTGATACAATACGAATATCTGAATTCTCCGCTAAATTCTATGCGCTCTTTCTTCGTCAACCATTATCCTATTTTTCTCGGTCCTCGGCCCGGACAATAAATCTCGTGGCGAACTCCGTCTACTTCGGTGCGTGCCCTGCCGACCAATAGCATTTGGCTCCCTTCTTTCGCCGACCTCTACCCCCTTTTTCACCGGTCTCTGGGACCTCTTGGAACCAAATTACGACACTTTTGGCAAACTCCGCCCACTTAGGTGCGTGCTCTACCCAGTGATAGCAGTTGAGCTCTTTTCCCTCACCAACCTCTAACCCCGTTTTCCCCTATCTCTAGGACCTCTTGCAACCGAATTGCGATACTTTTGGCAAACTCCGCCCACTTGGGTGCGTGCTCTACCCACTAATAGCATTTGACCTCCTTTCCTTCGCCGACCTCTACTCCCTTTTTCCCAGCCTCCTGGACTTCTTGGAGCCGAGTTATGAATTTTCGTCGCAAACTCCGCCCACTTTGGTCATGTCCCGCCCACCATTGACAGCTGGCCTCCACTCCTCCACCCACCTCCATCCACCTTTTCCGCGGCCTCAGGGACTTCTTGGAGCCAAGTCATGAATTTTCGTCGCAAACTCCGCCCACTTTGGCCAAGCCCCGCCTACCACTGGCCTTTGACCTCCACTTTCCCACCCAACTATATCTTCTTTTTTCCCCACTCTCCGGGACCTTCTGGAACAGAGTTCTGAATTTTCGTCGCAAACTCCACCCACTTTGGTCAAGCTCCGCCCACCGATGACAGCTGGCCTCCACTCCTCCACCCACCTCTATCCACCTTTTCCCCAGCCTCCGGAGCTTCATGGAGCCGAGTTATAAATTTTCGTCGCAAACTCCGCCCACTTTGGTCAGGCCCCGCCCACCAATGACAATTAACCTCCACTCCTCCACCCACCTCTATCCACCTTTTCCCCAGCCTCCGGAGCTTCATGGAGCCGAGTTATGAATTTTCGTCGCAAACTCCGCCCACTTTGGTCAAGCCCCGCCCACCATTGACAGCTGGCCTCCACTCCTCCATACACCTCTATCCACCTTTTTCCGGCTCTTTAGGACTTCCCCGACCCGAATTATGAGGGCTTGTAGAAAATGCTGTACACTTCAGAGCGCGCCCCGCCCATTCTGGGCAGGCCTCCGCCCACGTCATGTATGCAGGAAACACCTTAGACATTGCTCCCTTACACCAATTGTTTTCTGCTCTGTAGGCTTTCTCCCAACCGAGTTATGAAATTTTTCATAAAGCACTGCTTTTTTAGAGAACGCCCCGCCCACCGGGGGTGGGTCTCCCTAATTCGATGTACTTACCAATGCACACCTTACCCACTTTTTGGCCCAGTTTCGAGGTCGTTTTGTCACTGAAATCGAAATCTTGGTCTTCGGTACAATTCATTTCGACGCACGCCACGCCCTCTGTGGGCGGGGCTCCGCTTAGCTGATGTGTGTTTTGTATTACGTGAGACCCTGCCCACCCATCCCACACTTGACCCGGTCCCTCCAGGCGGATCCCGAGGAGCTAGGGAATTTCGTGACAGACATACAGAACGACAGACAGAGGGACAGAACGACAGACAGAGGGACAGAACGACAGACGAAGCGCTTTATAGTAGTAAGGATCTCTAACGTTCGCCCGATCCTTGAATATTGCTCACCAATCTGGTCGCCGTTTAAAAGATCGTTAATCGAAGAAATTGAAAAAGTTCAAAGAAGTTTCACTTATCGCTGTTTTATGCGCAAAGGTTTGTCAACATTATCCTATGATGAGCGCCTTAGCATGCTTCATGAAGAGTCTCTCGAATTTCGACGAAAGTTAATTGATTTCGGATTGATGTATAAACTTGCGATGGATAAATTGAATTTGAAATTGACTGACATTTTTGAAATGTCGCCTTCTATAGGGGTATCAAGAGGCCACCCCTATCGTTTACGACCCGACAAGCCCAACACACACGCGTACGGAGAAGCGTTCACTGTCAGAGTGGTTTCACTCTGGAACAAACTTGATTCAGATTTTTTCAGATGGAAACATACTAGGACGTTTCAGGATCACTTATGTAGGTATCTCAAGTGCCGAGTGGCTGCTCCAGATACGAGTTTTGGAAATGTTATCGCGTGACGGCAGGTGCGCCTACCCCGCCGCCACATGACTTTGCTGGAATGGGGTGCGTGCCAGCCGCCTCCATAGCGCAGAGCGAAGTGCCGCCGCTCATGCGTGCACTCGCAATGAATCTCACTGGGGTTCAAATCCAGTGCCGCCTAAAGTGTTTGCAAGCGGCTTAGCATTCACGTTTACAGCTCCTGAGTTGTACAAATGTGCTCCTGCGTGATTCTGATCGGTTTGTCTCCTAAGTGGTTGCGCCAATTTCCGTCGTCTGGCATCCCAGTTCCTGAGGTAGGGGGAACTGATCGATACTGTAAGTGGTTTCGGTTTATACGAATGCTATCTTGGACAGCACTTAACGTTTCGATATTTCAGCCAACACGATCGATCATTTATTTCCTTCCTTGCTAGCCTCTTAATATCGCTTCCTGTTCATAGTTGTCTTGTAGTTACCTAACAATATCGCACTCACTTCTACGTTTTTTTAACATTGTCATTGACCTTCTTGTTATTATCATTTAATCGGACTATTTTTTTCATTTGAATAATCAACAACCATTTATTCTTTTTCAGCCCAGTATTCCCCTTCCCTACCTCATTACGGCTCTAGGAGGGGTTGGCGGACCTACTAAGTTGGTATCCGGAGTCGCTTTCCCCGCTTGGCGGCTTGCAATGTTGGCCGGCCATTGCCCTTCTCCTCCTAGGTGGCCCTTTGGATCTCCCGCCTCCCCCCCCCCGTACTCTATTAGCCAATCAGCTGCTTTTCAAAACTTGTTTCATAACTTTACTTTGAACTCCT